TTAGAGAGAGAGAGAGACAGAGAGACAGACAGACAGACAGACAGACAGACAGACAGACAGACAGACAGACAGACAGACAGACAGATAACGAGAAAATTAAACTAATCCGTACCCGTCTCAGACTTGATTCTATGTGTACAAAAGGAGATGACAACATCCAGGACTAGACTGACGAAGAATGTGACGCAAGAGCCGGCCATGACGGAATAGCCTTCTGACGTGTTGAGCAGAAAGTCGGACAGTCCTCCTTCCAGAGTGGACGCTCGGGCCAGACACGTGATCACGCCACTCACAAGGCCCACCAACCCCCCTGAGGTAAAGAAAACGTTAAAATAATAATGTAATAATGGGCCCTTTTTTAGGTTTTAGTAAGCGTTTTACGGCGTTTGCGACACACTTAGGTCATATATGTGCCGAAGATTAGAGTTAGAGGTGTTACAAGTGAGTAACAAAAACATAAAAGAAGGAGTTGACATAAGAACGATTTATGTTTGATAGAAAAGAAGGAGCAAACCACACGAGCGCACCTACAAGCCACTCACAAAGATTAAAAAAAATGTAAATATGTATACGGACCCATCAACACAATTTAGACCCTTTAGGAGGTGGACTCTGGACATAGTCTGCCAGGGCAACTCAGGATGAGAGATACAACGTTCCAGCAGAAAGACCGAGATATCGAAAATCAATTTTGTCCACACGGGGATCAAACTAGGGCATTTTGGAAGCGAGAGTGAAGCACCTAACCCCTACACCACAAACGCTGGTAAGGTTAAGAACGTAGAATGCTGAGGGTTTGATACATTTATGAACACTACCTTGATACCTGGAGGTGTCATCTCTGGCTCAGAGGTTGACGTGTAATGACCCTACATACATCTTGGTGGCTGTGGTCTAGTGGTTAAGCAACCGGACTCGTAATCGTGAGGTTACGAGGTCGGGGGTTCGAGCCGCGGGCCCGACGTTGTGTCCTTGGGAAAGACACTTTACACGAATTTTCCTCTCTTCACCCAGGTGGGAACGAGTACCCGGCCATAGACAGCGAAAGATCTTGTCAGTATGTTAGTGTTTTAGCGCCTATAAATGGCTGCTTGCACTGTAAGCTTCCCAGGAAGTTGAGGTTGTTTCAGAATGCTCTCAGGCCTGCTGGGGTAATAGTATAGATTGTGAAGCGCGTAGAGCTTGCTGTTGAGCGGGGATTTGCGCTATACAAATGCTTTCTATTATTATTATTGGTCGTTAGCTGCCGTTCCACATTCTGCCTTACCAAGGCCATTCCATGTCTTAATTGTGTCTGTCCATGTTACTCTTTGTCTACCCTTGGCTCGGATGCCCCACATCCTTCCTTCAAGCACCTCTTTCACACTGTTAATTATTTAAAAGTGGAACCTCCAAGTGGTTAAGCAACCGGACTCGTAATCGTGAGGTTACGAGGTCGGGGGTTCGAGCCGCGGGCCCGACGTTGTGTCCTTGGGAAAAACACTTTACTCTAATTTTCCTAACTTCACCCACGTGGGAATGGGTAGGCCATAGGCAGTGAAAGATCCTGTCAATATGTTAGTGTTTAAGCGCCTATAAATGACCTCTTGCACTGTAAGCCTCCCAGAAGATGAGGTTGTTTCAGAATGTTCTCAGGTCTGCTGGGGTAATAGTATAGAGTATAGATTGTGAAGTGCATGGAGTTTGCTTTTGAGCAGGGATTTGCACTATACAAAAGCTATCGATTATTATTTACTGGTCAACCAAATTCGAAGAAAACAAACAACTAAATAGTGCAGGGCCAAATCGGAAAGCTTTTTTGACATCTCGAGACAAAAACTGTAACCCCATAATAATAATAATGTTTTCTTGAAATGAACACAAACTGGTTGGGCAACGTTTGTTTGGAAGATGACATACTCAAGTTTAGAAGATAGATGTACGAAACAGGTCTGTCAGTAGTACAGGGGTCACCTAACTAAAAACCCGTGGGGCCAGATACGACCCCTAAGGCCATTTTGTCTCGCCTGTTGCCGTGCCACAGTGCTGGAAGGAAATAAAAAACAAACAAAACTTCGCAGATATGTTAATAGCGTGCACATGTCTCTACCACCAAAATGACTGAAAAGTGAAAAGGTTATCATTTCCTTAAATTTAAATTATATAGTGCAGATTTAATGTACTTTAAACTACTTCATAAGTTCTAGCTTATGCATTTAAAAAATGTATTCAGTGTACAGCGTTTAACTAAATAGTTATATGGCTCGTGCTTGGCATTCCCTCAGTTATCTGCCCCACTTTGAAAAGAGTTTGTTGGTTGCTGACAGGTGCTCTGCTGTGCTTTGCTTCTTCTTTCCGATCAAACATATATCGTCCTGATATTTCCTCCATCTTTTTTTGTGTATGTTACGCTTCTGTAACGCCCTCTAATCTTGGGCTCTTATATGATCTAATACTGTCGCAAGTGTCGTAAAATCTGACTAAATTAAACAGAAAGAGGTTGGTGACATCTGCAGAATAGCACTCTGACTACAAAAAGAAGCAGGAATTTTGCATTACCTATGACGAGGGCGACTCCAGTAGTTTTGACCCACACAATGGCGAGAACGACCCCAGGGAATGCCTGGATGGTGATGATACAACCTGCAGAAAAGAGGTAAAATTTACAACCTGTAGAACAGATGTATAATTTACAACCTGTAGAACAGAGGTATAATTTATAACCTTCAGAACAGCTGAATAATTTACAACCTGTAGAATAGATGTATAGTTTTTAAAATGTTAAATGTACGTGTTTTTTACACCCTCTTCAACACAATTTATATCATCTACGAGCAGGCTTTCGACTCTGCCTATCAGGAACAACCCGGACTGAGAATTATACAACATCCCAACAAGGGCAGAAAGACCGGGTTACTCTATAAAAATTATCTCCTACCACGGGAATCGAACTCGGGTCTCATGCGTGTGACACCGAGGCCCTATTCCAGCACCTGAAGTCTTTTGGTTATTTTCATAGCTTTAACGCAGAATACAAATTTATACTCGATTTCCATAACCATCATCATTTGCCTCCTCCACCCTTGTATTAGGCAAGAGCCATGAACGGCTCTCCGCCTGTCTCTGTTCTAGACGATCTTCTCCAATTCCAATCAGCTGTGTTCCCATATGCCAGAGATCTGCCAAGATCCACATGGGAGCGAGATCTAGAGGCAGACCTAAAAAAAACCAAAAAACACTTTCAGAATGGAAATATTTTATCGAGTCTCTCAGTCTTTCTGTTTAGACGCAATATCCAACTAGTCCCAGGATGGACTTGAATTTCAGTGTCGAAGCAGCCTGCCTCCTTAGTGATCTGCCAAAAAAGGTATAAAACATTTACATATCTTGCCCTCAAATGTTGTGAGAGGGGGATGAAAACGGACTTATATTATGTGCAACCTTCTTTTGACTCTGAACTTGAGTCTAAATGGTCTCTGTGGTAATCTGGGCTATACAAGTGTAATCCTTGTACCAACACGCCTCTCCAAAGGACAATCAACGGACACCCTATCCCTTACCAAACGAATAAATCAACCAAATAATCAACTAATCAACAAATGAAATAAACAACCAACGAATAAACTAATAAGTTAACAAATAACAAGTCCAACAATAACGAATAAACCATCCAACGAATCAACCGATCAACAGATAATCAACAAATCCGCGAATCAGTCAACCAACCAACCAATCAACCAACCAACCAACCAACCAACCAACCAACCAACCAACCAACCAACCAACCAA